TAATCAACTTACAATATTATGCCCATTCTCCTCTATATTAAGCAAATATCTATCATCATGACAAACACGACGATTATAATATAATGTTGAATAATAATCTGAATGTTCCATTAAATCATAAACAACTCGTGAATATACACACGAAATGCTCATTTTTAAATGCGGGTTTAATTTGTTAACAATAAATTTAAGAACTCTTGTAGGCCTCGCAAAATCAGCTAAGTCTCCAAAATGAGTAGAATTAAATACTTGATGTTTTTTTGATGAAGTTAATGGAATTAGGATTGCTTTGTCTATTCCTCCATCAATTTGTATTGGGCCGAGTAAAAGCTTTAAAAATTAAAATTTTTTATTAATGTTTAAAATTTAATCGGCACAATCCGTTTTGTGTTGGAATGTGCTTTCTATGATGCCTATTACCATTTCTTTACTCTGAATTTTTACAAGAGCACAGAAAACCAAGATATTAAACATACTTAAAATAGGGTAGGACCACGTCCCCTAAAACCACGACCACTGTATTTTTTTGGAAATAACACGAGACCAGAACCCCAAAGGCTCTACCCCAACAAACCCCGATCCCCGACGCCCACCTCCGAAAGCTAGGAGTGATACTCTATTTTAAAATCAAGTCCTTCAGAAAGATCACTTAAAATGATATGATTTTACCTGTTTATTGAACAAAACTTCCAACGCATAATTATTTTTTTGAAAAGCTACAGGTGTCTTGTCATCTGTAGATAATTCATATTTATCAAATTTACAATAATCATATTTTTCTGTAATTTTTGAATGAAGAATGTTACTGAATGTATTTTTCACATAAAGTTTCAATTCAAAACGATATTTATCCATTTTATCCAGTTTATTAAACAAATCTTGAGACAAACTTTTCTCAAATTTTCTCCACTCAATTTTAATATAAAGATTGCTTTCAATTATTTTATAAACTCCAAAAAGGAGTATAATTTTAATTAAAGAAAATAATTTGTATATTTGCATATCTAAATATTATTGTTTAAATTAAATGATAAAATTTGCATACAAACGGAACATAGTTCTAAAAATTATATCATTATATGTACATTTTGATAATTTCAATCAGAATTTCCTGAATACCTAACCAAAAATTCTCATATACTGGGATCCTTTAGAATAATCATATTTTTCTGTCATTTTTGAATGATGAATGTAACTTAATACATTTTTCAAATAAAGTCTCACTTCAAAACGATATTTATCCATTTTATCAAGTTTATTAAACAACGATTATCCAGGCCACATCGAAAACTATAAATGTACAATGAAGACGGGAAATTAACAAGATCAAGAAAATTTGTGTCAAATATATTCAAATTAGAGTCAAATATATTCAAATTAGATGGCCAAAATAACTATATATATATGACACACAAGAGTTTATCCACGTAGAAATTTAATATATATTCCCTGTTGAAAACGGATCAAGCAGATTTCACAAACAAACAGAACTTATCTAGGCAAATTATTGCGAATATTTAAATTAAGATCAAGGAAAGATATAATTTTTCATTTTCCCAAAAAGTGTAGATTTTAACGAGTAATTAATGACTAATTTCATTATTAAATTACATATTATTTAAAAAAATATTATTGCATAAGTATATGAGAATTAAAGTGCATGAGAAATGCACTTTCTAAACATTAGGTGTCACGTCTGGGATTTGCTAATGATACGACTGAAAACACACAAGAGTTTATCCACGTAGAAATTTAATATGTAGAAGTTTAGGCAGAAAGAAGAAAACTAAAAGAAAGAAGAACGAAAAAGTAACTAGTGGTAGCTTTTATACGAACTTGTTTAAGGTCTCGCGCCCATACATATCATTAGTCATTTTTTCTAACAGAAAATTATTTTTAATTATCAACGATAGATAGAGCAATATTGATCCAATTAATTGTTCTGATAATAAAATGGGAGGGGGACTCAATAATTGCGTTCGAAGAGAGACGCTTAAATTACGAAATTTGAATCCGTTTCAAAACAATTAAAAAAACTATAGTTTTATAAGCAAATTATACCAAAAGCAAGCAATTCTACAAAATTCTACAACTCTATTTTTAGAACAATCAAAAGAACCATCTAATGTTGTTCGGGCCACATCGAAAACTAAAATGTACAATGAAGACGGGAAATTAACAAGATCAAGAAAATTTGTGTCATTATATTTCGGGATAAGATGATAAAAATATAATATAATGGGAATCAAATATATTCAAATTAGATGGACAAAATAACTAGAAAAATTTTCCTTTTCTAATAATTGAGCAAATCTAATTTATGAAATATGTATCTAAATTTAATTATAATCACTGTTAAGTTGCATAAACTTATAAAATTAAAAATATTTTTATTATAAATTTGATTTAGGATAACCTAATATTTCGATTAAATCGCATTTTTAAAGTAGGTCTAACCGAAATTTAGACTTAAACATTGAAGAAACAAATAAATTTGGTAGTGTTATTTGAATTTTTATCACATAAATTTAGCAAACTAAAATCATTTGAAAATATATCGTTTCTTATCTTTACTTGAATGGCCACCTCCATCTAATCACTCAATCGTTTAGGAGGAATTAGAAAATAGAATTAATGACCACTCTAAATTAATTCATGGTTACGCATTCTACCTGAAATAAAAAGCGAAATCACTGCCGTAGAGTTGTATTGGTGGTTAAAATAACACCACACACCTTTTTTCGGTCTTTAACAATAGCCAAATTTTAGGACATTAGTTACTAGAAGAAAGGCCTTAATACAATTATATTCTATCAAATAATGATTTAATAAAAGAATGTGGCCACTCAATAAGATTATTTTAAATGCTCGAAAAGTTCTTTAGCTTCTTGACGTTCGTTTGGATTTGGCTTCAGACATTGTTATAATTTATATAAATTTATAAAAATATATAGTATAATTTACTACTTAAATACCTCAATAATACCCATTAATTTTTCAACCAAATATTTATTTGTTTTACGATATTGCTCCAGCTTTCCAACTACTCTTGTGTAATCAACAATATCCGGATTTTGTCTTGTTAAATACACAATTTGTTGGAAGATATCATCCGTAACGCTATAAGGATATTGATCAAAACCAAAAAGCATTTGATATATTATAACACCCATAGCCCATATATCTGGCTTAGTTGCTGCATACATGATATATATATATTGCTGCATACATGATATATATAAAAAGGTGTTTAATTTGAGATTTTTATCAGTTGGCTTTGTGTTCACCTATCGCAAGTACTCTTTCATTCAAAATAAAAGCAAACTTTAATACTAATCCTATTAATTGAATAAACTTACATGCTCAAAATCAGCTAATTCTGGGCTCATAAACTGATATGTTCCGTACTGAAAATTTTCGCCATTTTCTATCTGAATATTTGATAAAATTACGAATAATTTTCAATTTTTAATTACCAATTTCTTAATTTTTGAAAATTCAAAGTCCACAATTTTAGCTACACCATTTACCATCATTATATTTTGAGGTTTCAAATCCATATGAACAGCAACTATAAATATTTTTTAATTTTTTATTAAATATTAATATAAGTTTTATTTTAGAAAATCCTAGGGTGCTAATTATGTCTTGAGTAAACTCGAGATTTTGGTTTAAAAAATCGGTATGTCTCTTGTGTTGACCAAGACGACGACCTCTTTATTTCGTGTTTAATTTGCCCCGGTTAGTTACACATCAGGGAAGGGCTGCCTTCCGCTTCCGTTTTCTCGCCTTTTCATTAGAAATAAATATAAATTAATTAGACCTTTATGAAAGCTGCTTATAGCTAAAAGTAAATGAGCAGTTTGATTGTAAACCTCGATTAAGAAATCATATTCATTATGCTTAAATTTTTAAATTTATTTTTTTTTTGAAATTAATAACTAATATTATTTTTTATTTACATTTGATCGTATCATTTCAATATATTCTTTTAAATCCATATCGGCAATTTCCATAGCAATTTCCAATCTTTCATCGTTGCTAAATATTTGCAAGTTATGCAAGAAAATTATTTTACCCAGCTTTGAATTATAACAACCTTGTTAAGGACGATTCACTTAGAGCATTTAAAACGCTTAGCGGGAGTTAAACGATTGAAGAGGATAAAAGAGAGAGCGTTAGTCGTCGCCCCGTTAGCTCGTGGTAGTGCTACTGTATATAGTGATCGAATTAGCCCAGCAATAATGTCAGGAGGTCGCAGGTTCGAATCCAGCCCGGTGGCTAAACTCTTGCTAAACTATTTCTCTTGGTTATAACAACTGTTCGTAACCCCTACTTAAAATCTAAATTAGCAAATTACAACAATATTTTAATAATAATAAATTAATAAAAGTCGTAGGTTTCCGGTTTTCTGGGTCAACGAATTTTTCAAAATAAAAATAAAAATACCCCTCGTGTCTACCCCAAATTTTTTATTAATTTAAATAGTAAGTATTAATTACTGATTAATTTCGTGAATAATATTTTGCGCATTCTGATCCTTCTGTTTTCCTGACTTTTTCATAAAATTTCTATAGAAATCAACTTCTTTAGTATATGCATCATTTGAATTCGGAAAAAAATATTTCAAAGCAACACATTTTTTCATTTTAAAAGAAAATGCATGAAAGACCTTTTAAAATTTATAAGAAAGTTTGTAATGGTTTTTAAATTTTATTTGTATAAGAATATTCTCTTAGGCAGGGCTCTGTTCGTAAAAATGTTAAGCTAATTACATACGATATTGTACGTAAAATAGAGGTCCGCAACGACTATGATTTCTGAAATTCTAGAAAAAGATTTGGAGTCAATATGTTTAAAAATATGTAATAAAATTGATACAAATAGATTAAATTTTAAAAATATATTTAATTTTAACATTTTTATTTGTATTTATTTAATTTTTATTTAAATTTATTTAATGTTTAAATTTCAAACTTTAGCTGTTGCTCCCTCCCCAATTAACCCTCTAATGTTGCCATAGATGTCAAATAGATGTCAAATTCAAAGCTATATTCTGAATCGGGAATATTTCCAAATAAGTTCAATGGTATTTTTCGACGACAAGAACAGGTTGGTAAATTATATTCTTCTTCTTGTTGATAAAGTACTTGTTGCTGTTGTTGATGCCGTTGGTATTGTTTTACTTCTTGCTCTCCTTCTCCTTGTTCTTCTACATATTTTTCTTGTAATTTTTGTTTCTTTATTCTTCCTCTTGCTTTCCTTCGTCGCCTTTTTAAGTTCTTGTTATAATCATCATCATCATCAGTTTCAAATGATAATTTAATAAAAACAAAAATAAATAATAAAATTAAAAATAATTTTTTAATTTTCATAAAAAAATTTTCAAAGACAATTTTAAATTTTTTTATAAATTTTTATTTAAATTTTTTAAAAGGCAATTGAAAATATTCAATAATTTAAATCCCTTATTTTTATTTTAAAATGATTTTTAATTTATTATTTTTAGAGCAATAGACATATGTACATATATATGTATATAAGCAATACATACTATGTCTATAAGCAATACACAAGCAACAATACACAAATAGCAATTTCCGGCAAATAATAATTTTAAAGGGAAGACAGTGGGGGCTTTTTGCCGAAAATGACTAAAAGATACTTTCATTGGCCGCAATTTACTAAGAAAAATTTTTTAATGTTTTTCTAAATATAAAAAAATTTTTAATGTTTTTCTAGATTTATAAAAAATTTCTTTGTCATTTTTTATTTTGTTTATTCTTTGAATTTGCCGAAATTGACTCTAATAAAGTAGCCTTTCTTATTTTATCATATCTTATTTTTAATGCATTACTAAATGAGAACTTAAAACATTCCCAAAAAATAATTTATACCAATTTTCATACCAATTTCATGCCAATTTTCTCTAATTGAATGGCCACCTCCATTTGAATGGCCTTCTTATCAATCACGCAAGAAGGGGATTAAAAATATAAAATTAATGACCCCTCTAAATGAATTTAATAGAGCACGGTTACATTAGCAAATACGTATATGTTTCAACCACTGATTGGCATTTAGCAACGGCCCTCCCATTGAATGAGGACATACTTTAATAAATAAATGGCAATTCTAATAGAATGACCATTTAAGTGATTGAATAAGAATGGTCGGCCAATCAATTAGAGGAATACAATTGCTTTAAAAGTTCTTCAGCTTCTGGGCGTTCGTACGCATTTGTTTTCAAACATTGCTATAATTTATATAAATTTGTAAAATAGTTCATATTATTTAATCTTATATACCTCGATAATACCCAATAATTTTTTCAACAAAATCTCCAAATTAATTTATTAATAAATTTTATTAATTATCTAAATAATTTCTTATTAAAAAACTTTAAATTCTATTTCCATTAATTTTCTAATTAAATTATTTTTATTAAAATTTTCTGCTAATAATGTTCAGTAAAAAATGTTGGAGTTTTTAAGAAAAAAGAGAGAGAATCAGGAAGCGCCCAATTCATAATTGCACTCTCTACAATAGCCTTGAGGGCAGAACTGCGCGACAGCCACTACCAAGCATAAAACTTAATTAGAAAACACCGCCAAAGCATATAACTCAAAAATGACGGAAAGGTGGGAACAGGCTTTTTATTTATCTAAGTTATTTTTGTTGAGAGTTTTCTTTTCATTTGTTATAGTTAGCTATTTCTAATGAACATTATGTTTTTTAATATTAAATTTTGAATGAATTTTTTAGTCCATTAGTTCTTATCAGACCTGGGAAAAACTCCAAAATTTTTTAAGATCAAACAAAACCATTGTAAATTAAAAACAGTAATAAAATTCCATTGGAATTCTTTTAAATAGGGTTGGGGTTTTTTTTTTCGGGCCGGCCCGACCGAGTCTCTTTCGGGTCAAAATTCAATGCCCGACTCGATCTTTCGGACCGGGCCGGATCGGGCCCCAACCCTACTTCCAGAAAATACTTTCTAGAAGGAAACGAAATAAAAGCAGGACAACTAACTAGACAAGGAAACGAAACGTTTCGTCCATGTCTGATTCTGATAACCTTTAAGTTTGTTCCATCATTTATTGTCATAAAATATAAAAATTTACCTCAGTATTTAAGCATTTTCATCTAAAATTCGATCTTGCAATTATCTCAAAATAATTTTTAAACAATGAGTAGTTTACCAAAAGGAACTGTAAAAATTGCAGCTGGACTTGCATTGGTGTCATTTGGAACTTTAATGCTTGGTGTTCCTTTAATGTAATCTTTCTGAAAATTAGTAAAAATAAAAACTAGGAAATGAATTTTGCATCTTATCGTTAGTGATCTGACCAAAAGGGATCTCAAACAAAAACTCGTTGAAAAAATCTCGTGTTATTACCTCAAAGTGTAAATTGGGAACGTGACCATTGATGGTTATTAGGCATCTTTTTGCTCCGGCTCCTTGCTCAAAACTTTTTCAAATCTTGGTTCCGTTCCTAAAAAGCTCCAGAGCTAGCTCCTGGAGCCATGACCAGCTATGAAGTGACCTTTTTAGTTTCACCTTTGTGTCTATTAAAAATTTAATTTCGAACAATATCTAAAGTTTTACGTAATAATAACCGAAATTTTAAATAGGTATACTAAACATTTAATATTTTATTATTATTTAGGCTCATGGATTTGGCCAATTTTGAGAAAGAAATGTCGCAAAAAAGACAAATCGTTGAAGATATGGTCTTAAACATTTTCCTTTTTGCCTACTTCAAGTAATTTTTAAATAAACAGGGCTCACAAATGTGGAGTACTATAATGGAGCAGAAAGTTTTAACTCGAAAAGAACGAGCTGCAGAAATTATTGCTCGTCAACGAAGGCAATGTAAAATAATTTTTTAGCCTTAAATTGGATAGTTAAAAATTGTTAAGATGAGAATTCTAATGTCAAATCTAGTCCGCAAAAGAATCAATGTCCTAGCGGACCAAAAGGTGTGCGAGGCGAGCCAGGAGAACCAGGTGAGATACATAGCATATTAATTTTTAATTTCAAGTCGGTAGGAACTCCCCCCCCCCCGCCTCCCATGAGGCAAGGAATTTCAGAAAAATAGCTAAAAAACTAAAAACCCGGTCCCTAATAATAAAATATTAAAATCAGTGTTTGACTAATATTATATTCTAACATAATTATAAAATCTTAAACTATAATTACATCATCTGACAATAAATCAGAACCGTTCCTTATACTATGGTTCCGATTTCTAAGCGATTCCAATTTCAGTGTTTTATAATTTTGGTTTAGGAAACTGAAACTGTATCTATATAGGATCAGTCTACGACTAATTTTTTAATATAAATTATTGGATTTAAATTTATCAAGGAATGGATGGAGAGCCTGGTCCTGCAGGTGCTTCAGGAAGCAGTCAAGTAGCTTCTGATCCTGGAAATGCCTATGGAGAGACTGTAACCCCTGGTTGTGGGAAATGCCCAGCTGGTCCAACCGGTTTACCTGGATATAAGGGCAAAAGAGGTCCAAGAGGAGATAAAGGAGCAAAAGGATCTCCTGGTGCCCCTGGTCGAGATGGACAACCTGGAGATGAGGGACCGGAAGGGGAAATCGGCCTTCCTGGTGATATTGGCGATGCAGGTGTGAAAGGCACACCTGGAGAGGATGGTAATAGATTTATAACCATTTCTTTTATTTGATGGATATTCAAGGCGTTGGATATGCAAAAGGAGATCCTGGACCAAAGGGGGCTGCTGGCCCGCCTGGTGAGGCCGGAGATGAGGGTCCAACCGGTGATAGAGGTGATGATGCTGCTCCAGGTCTGTAATTCTTCATAATAATTAATAAAAAATTTCAATTTTAAGGTCCCCAAGGACCGATTGGTCCTCCTGGTGCACGCGGTGACAAAGGAAAAGATGGCATAAATGGAAGTCCCGGTGCCCAAGGATTGCCTGGTAAATTAAAACATTATCAGTCATAATTTTAACTAAAATAGGTGCCGATGCTGAATATTGTCCTTGTCCAGAACGTTCAAAAGGGGTCGATGTAGGGCCCGCTCCTCCAGCAGCTCCATCCCCTTCACCACCATATCAACCGCCTGAAGCTCATCCGGCTAATAATTACGGTGCTGCTGTGCCAAATAAAAGTGCTCCTGAAGCACCAAAAAAGCCAGAAGTTGGAGGCTATGAAGCAAAATCTGAGGGAGGTAGTGGTTATGGCGGAGGAACAGTAAAGGGTGATAATATGGAATTTTTATAGAAATAATTTAAAATATTTAGCAGCATCTGAAAGCAATTCAGAAAGCATTGGAGAACAATCAACGTCAAGTCGACGTTTATCTGCATATAATAAACTTGTTCATGCAGCACTTAGAAGACGCCATCTTCGTTAATTTATACTATTTATATTAAATAATTTCTTAACTAATTAAAACACGTAAATATTCTAGTGCATAAAAGTAATAGAACGGTTTTCAAAATTTGCCAAACCGATCGGCAAGGTTATGAGATTTCCTAGGTATGGGCCGGCTTTTAGTTAAAAATACTGGTCCTACCAATAAATACCTTTATATAATGTTTGTTGATTATGGACTGTAGCAGTTTCCGGTTTAGCATTTAATATTATTACTGCGACTAAAACACTCAAAGTCAACATGTCTAGTGATATTCACGTGCATATGTCTAATTATGAATGCACTTTTTGTATATTTTTGTATTGAATATTGCACTTATATTTATTAAAGAGTTGCCGCCCAATTACTTTGGCTATTAATAAAAATATAGACATGCCAGATTTTATTTTTATAAATGTTTAACGTCTAATAATTAACTTTTAATAATAAAAAGGTTATCCCACCTAAACGACACTTCTTATTCAGAAACTCTTATACGGGGCAGTCTTTTATTCAAGTGCCGGATCTAGTTGTATGTTAAATTTCAACCAAATTGGTTTCATATAATTGGGTCAGAATGTAATTATTTTAAATATTCTTCGATAAAAACTTGTTAGTGTTCTAAGAAAAATCATCTCTCATCATTTATCTCACATCATTTGCGCCGCAGGCCAAAATTTTGAGAATTTTGGCAAGCTAAATGCCAGATATATTCTATTTTCAGCGCACAGGCGAAAATTACATGAATCCTGCTTGGCAATGGGCGAAAACACTGTTTTTTATAATATTTAAAAATAAATTTACAATTTTAACATCAATATCAGAAAGCTAAAAAATCAATTTTGGAACGCAAAACAACGTGCGAAGTTTAATGTTTAAATTCGGATTCAAACCCACACCTATGTCATAAGCTTAACTATAAAGCCCACCACTTAAGCCTATTAACCACACATCACTTTTCTAGTTAATGAATTTAGTATACATAC